AACACTTTGGGCATCCCTATCACATTGATGTATTCTCTGAAACTAAGATATTTGTTATGGCAATATTAAAATATTGATCGTTTGTCCATAATTATTACGGCATTCGCCCTATTTCGTAAAGCATCAAGAAGGACATTTTTGTTCGACACCGAAATTAATGTTCATCCTATCAAACACATTCTGTGGATAAACATTGTCGTAATCAGTTCTTCTCAGTGTCACTCCATTCTAAATTGATCTGTTAGCCAAGAAAAAATCAAGTCTGACTTACCTTCGATTTTCCGGCTGATCAATAATGCAAATTGGCGCGTTAACATTTTCATTTCGAATTTTTTTGGCTATATCCAGTGCATAACTGTCAGCGCCTTTATTAGTATATTTCAGATTGTTACTAATCACAATGACCAATTTCACTGGAACCTGGAATTTACGATTATCTCATTAGAATAAGCTCTAGTAATGAAATTCTACGCAAAATTCACTTCGCTATAAATATAATGCTTCGGGGTGTCAGATACTGATGTATTAAGCTTTAATTAACTCACTTCATTGGCTTCCAGGTCACGTGGCATTAGATTTTCTATCCATTCACTGAAAAAACTGTCGCAATTAAAGACAAGCATGACAAAGACCAACATACACATTGAATATTGAATATTCGATGGAGTTTTGCATTGATCTTTTGAGGCAGAATGGATTCTTACATTCTTGGTATATTGGTTCAATTCTAATTCTAATTACATTCCCTAATTAAACTGTTTGTGGTATTATGCCTTCTGTTTACAAATTCTTAGTATATTTAAACAAAGATTTCATTATCACTCAAGTACCACTTCATTATCATTATCACTTAAACATTACGACCATTCGACTACCATATTTAATTGTTGATGCAATGTTTGGAATAGAAATCCTTGAAGTATTTGCACCAAAAACGATTAAATCTCAACATTGGATGATTTTGGCATAATTTGATAATGATTAAAGTTTGCTTCTGTTTATATAAAAGATGACTAACTCATCGTCGTCTTGCCAGAAAGAAAAGCTCTTGTACGAGGATGAACTTAAATCGTATGGGATAATCACTCCGTTCATTTGACTTCCTTCTATTTCATTAAGAAGGGATGGCATATATGCTGAAATCATATAATTAGAATTATTTGTTTGTTTAATAGTGGTTTAATGCCATATGATACAAAAATCCATTACAATTTCCTAACCAGTTACGAGTTCCTCGCGGATTTCTAGATGATATTCCTGAGACGTGAACATCAGTGCTGTACAATAACAGTTATC